GGGGGCTTTCCAAATATAAGCCTCATATGGGCGACAACCAGGACCAGCCACCTATGGGTTCAACTAATTCGAAGAAACCATATGGCTTAACGCTAGCGATGGTCTAAAACGGCTCATCGTCTAGTCGACCTACCAGGTCCAGGTGCCTCGTTCAGTCCAGAGCCATGCCGCGCAGACCGTGTAGGCTGCTGTGCCGGAGCGCCGTGAAGCCTGGCCGCAGGGCCGCAGCTGCAGCCCCCACCCGGGCTGGCTCTCTTGCCAAGACCGTCTGGGGGATGGTGTTGTCCACGGCGTCACCAGCGAAATCGTCCCTTCCAGCGCCCGGGGGATCCACCGTGTACAGCTCGTCATCTTCCGCGTTCTCTGGAACAATACATATGACGAAATCTGCTGTGAGTGGGGTGCAGCGTGCAGCACGCCTAGGAGGTAGGCAATATTGGGGACTCTGACAGAGCTGCATTTATGTTGCCTACCCAGCCATTCACAGGGGCTCGGACATTTTTACTCGTTCTTTGCCACCAACCTACACCTACTTTGGTGATAGAAGAACGAGTATTAGCTATATTCAATTAACCATTTTTCGTACGCTACGCGCCCCCAAGCGTGGCCCAAGCGTGAGCTCCGCTTGGCGCGGCGTGAATTGTGGGCGCCGTTCCTCCCCGCTCCCTGCCCCTCGCCCTGCTCACGCTTGCAGAAGCGTACGCTTGGGGGCGCGTAGCTTAGAGAAAGGCTTAGTTGAATATAGCTTGTTTTCAGTGCAGTGTAACACCAAACATGATTCCATGTTCATCTCAGAACACAGAATACCTACAAACATGACACTTATACCATTTGAGTGTTATGTTTGACGATGTTCTCTGAGATGAAGATACAATAATTTTAAGAACATCATAAAGAACGAGTGTCCATTTTACCACAAAAGTAATTTTGTGCTTCCTTTTCCCTTGTTGACAATTTCTCCTCGAATTGCTTTTAACGAGATCACAATGCAATGTACCTTTCATTTGGGAGCGGTTACATGGTTCTAAAGCCTCACCGTGGACAACCTTTTAATTGTGGCCACTATTTGGAATTCTGGCAATAGTGGTTGATGGAGAGACGTCATAAAAATCGACAACCATCGACAGAATTTCGAATTTTATCAAAATGAAGAGGTTGCATAAGGAAATATCTAGACTGTTAGTTAAAAAGATAAGTCATATCTCGTATTTTCCTTTTCACAGATACAGACATACCACAAGCGCCTGCACCACCACCTCCCACCTCGCCTCCCACGCGAATTCAAGAAGCGAGGCCAATCGACGAAAGAGAGGGAAAACAGGGGAAAACGCGTGCTTCTGGTTGGAGGCGGGAGGGGGAGGGGGTGCTTGTATACAAGCAAGCGCACTATTGTTGGAAACGCAATTTGCGCCGTGGAGTTGGACGAGTTTGGACGAACGGAGCGCGAGGAACTGTGGTGGGGGTCTGAAGGGGGCGATCGGGGCGATCCTGGTTGTGGTTCCGGCCCAGAGGAGGTGCCCAGCAAAGCCAGAGCCGCGCCTGGTCGAGAAGAGTCCTGCTACTGCTGTCCGCTCCCCACCCCTTTTAAGCCTTTAGTGGCCCCATTGCCCAGTACGAAGCGAAGGCAGGGATCGTGTTTCCAATACCATGCTAAGAGCTTTCCCCTACCCCTTTCGCTTACCTGGCAAAGATCTGACCTGGAGACCCGACTTTGCAAAAATATACCGCCGTGACAAACGACTTGATCAAAAGAGGGATTTTTATTGATTCACTCAAATGTTAAAAGTTATTCACATTTTCCTCAGTTTTTAAACGTGAAGCGAAAGTTTAACGTCTTCACAGGACATTTTCCCCCCATCCCACGTATCCACAGCCGAGAACCGTCCACCACACCCTTCAGGCTCCTGTTAGTATTTGCTCACGGCATTGTCCAGATATCCGGACTGTCAGAGCCCCGCCCCACCCACTGTGTGGCAGAGGCAGGGGAGGCGCCCGGGGCGCGACGCCCGCGTACCTGTGAGGTCTGCGTAGTCCGAGGAGGGCGTGCTGGTCCACGGCTGCAGCTGCTGCAGCTGCTGCTGGCGCAGCTCGAGTGGAGGCCGGTGCTGCAGCTGGCGCCGCAGCTCCTGGATGCGCTGCACCTCGCGGAGCGCCGACTGCTCCTGCAGCCGCAGCTGCTCGTCGGTCGGGTGCCTGGCTTTGGACGAGGGATTCCACAGGAACACGTAGTACAGGGAGAGCATGGCGGCGGCCAGCGACACGAAGAACAGATACGACACGACGGTGAGCACGCGCACCAGCTTCTTGCGCTGCTTGGGCTCGTACATCTTCTCCTTGGTGTCGACGCCAGCCAGGCGCACCTCGGCCGGGCCAGAGCTGGCCGCACCGCCCGAGCCGACATGGGGCGTGAGCGGCACCGTCAGACTCAGGCTGTCCATGCCGCCGTTGCCGCCGCTCAGGCTGCGGAAGCTGCTCATGGCCGCGGGGGGCGAGCTGCCAACGTCGCGCAGCGGGCGCAGCCGCGGGGCCACGGGAAACGGCGTCCTCAGGACACGCTCATGACGGCGGCGGCGACGCCACCCTGGAGAAGAGCGTCAACCACGCGCCTCTGGTCGGCTCCTGTGCTGCAGGAGGCCGGCGAGGAGGCCCAGGCGATCGGGACCCGGGGCAGCGTTATGTTGGCGACTTCGCGTCGGCCCCGTCAGCGGCAACCCCGGCGCACATGTCGGGCGGAGCACCCTGCGGTCAGCTGGGCCCGGTCCACGGCCGCCCGGTCCACCTGTAGAACAGGGATGGAGTAAGTAGGCTTGCCAGGGACCCGTTGTAAAAATGGCGTGTCCCCCCTGGCACGGACTTCAGCGAGCATTGGTATAATCTCAACCTTCTCAACAGACATTGAGCACCGGTCACTTAATTTCAAAGTAGAGGTAGTGCTTAAATAGCAAGTGACCGCACTAAATCAGCATTAAAGCTGAAAACCGGGTTCGTCGGTTGGCAGGCGACAGCTCCCTGGGGTAGTTCGCAGTACCCGGTACTGTCTATTCGAGAGCGCTGGGGTTGGGGAGCCGCTTCAGCCGGCGGCGGGCGTGGTAGGCAACCCATCGTGCAGCGGTGCATGGCGGTGCGGCCCGAGGTGGGCTCCCAGGCGGCGCCAGACGGTGAGGGCGATTAGGGGAACTCCACTCCCCTCCTCCCTCTCCGTCTCTGTAATACCTCCGTGGCCTCGCCTCTCTTACGATAGGGTGGCAAGCAATAAAGTCCCGACGAGGCATGGTTAATTTAATGGGAGAACAAAATCAAATACATCGGTTTTAATGGCGTAATATTTAAGGGCCCTGTGGACGCACGGCGTCACTCAGATGTCAGCTTGTGTACTAAACAGCCCCCTTTGTCGACGCAGTTGCGCGTCGGCTGCGTCGCTCGCTCTCTGTGTGTTTACGGGCCGATCCTCAGCCCCGACTGTTTACACGGGCCTCGTCATCAACTAAGGCTCAGCGGCCGCTATAGAGCCGCACCGCGCCCCCTTTGATATATAGCATTATTTTGCCGCCTGTCGAATGCACCGCGCGCGGGGGGCGGGGCGGGGCGGGGCGCCGACACGCCGACACAACACAGCCGTGCCTTTATCTGGGTCAGGGCGCACGCCAGGGGCTGGCTCCGCGGCCGCCCCCGGGTGCGGAGGTGACACCACTCGAACGGGTCAAGGCGAGGAGACACATGCCAGCAGGCATTGCTGGGCTTCCCGTAAGGACGGCGACGGGGTGTGGGCAGCTACATGAGCGCGGGGCGGATCTGATATCAGCGACAGGCGGGGTATTACTTTTTGAGGAGGCCACTCCGAGAGGAAAGGAGAGGGGGGGGGGGCGTAGGGATAATCGTACACGTTAGAAGCCATGAGAGTGAGAAGGGGGGTGCTTGGGGCGCGAAGACGCCCGTGTGTGTGCTGTTAGAGGAGCTCGCAGGGTTCGCGATCGCTGGAATGTACACCCGCTCGGCCTGGTGTTTGGCTTGTGTTAGGTTAGGTGTGCTGCAACTCCCCGACGCGCGCTGCCCGGACAGCCAGCTCTCCAGCTCGACAAAGTGCGGCCCCGTCGTGCTCGTACTCGCTCACCCGGCAGCTGCACCCGCAGGTCCTGGCTCCAGTTCCCTACGGCTGGACTCGGTCCCACACGGTGTCGCGGGCGTGCGCCCTAGTTGCGCCCGATGAGTTAGGCAACGCGGTGTTGTGTTGCCCTGGCGCTAATCGATGGCCTGGTCCAGTCGCCCCCCGCTGGGACCCACGGCGCACGCGCAGCGGCCTGCCCCCGCCGGCGGTGCCAACCCAACTGGAGCTGGAGAAGTGGCCCACACCGGAGACATGCCATTTCAGGACACACATTGCCTACATTTTGAATGAGATGCGCCCTCTGCTTTGTTCTTGGATGCCCGCACTCGTTGATGCCTGTTAGGCGGGGTGGGCCACCGTTCTGGCCTGGGGTGGTGGTGGTGGTGATGGTGGTGGGCGGGCACCGCGGCGGGCGGTGGGCACACCACAATGCCCCGGGGTATTACGCGACGCGCCAGGACACGACCTCCACGGGCCGCTTGTGGTAATGTGATTGAGCCGCGCTACCCCCATAGCCCCCGCCTCCCCCC